AGGCGGGAAGGGGAGGGAAAGGGGAGGAGGGGTTATTCACCTTCTCTGCATCAGTAGCACCCTGAAGAGCGGTAGAAGTTGAAGTTCTCAAAGCTTGAAGCTGAGAGGTTCGCCATCTGCATGAATATCAGCCAAGTAAGCAGGTGGTGGTGGTTGTGTCACTGCGTTTGCTGCTGCTGCTGCTGCTGCTGCTGCTGCTGCTGCTGCTGCTACTCTTGCTGATTCTGCTTCCTCTGCCTTTCTTTCATGCTTCTCCTTTCCTCTGCTCCACCTCCTCCCCCTCCATTACCACCCTGCTCTCCTTGCCCTGCTCTCCTTGCCCTGCTCTCCTTGCCCTGCTCTCCTCGCCCTGCTCTCCTTGCCCTGCTCTCCTTGCCCTGCTCTCCTCGCCCTGCTCCCTCCTCCTCTCCATACGTTGCGAAAGCGGATGCAGCCGACCAGAAAACTACTGAGAGTCCCATCCAGATGCCCAGCCCCACCAGCGCGACCTGCCGTTGCTCGTCATGTCGAGCATGTAAAGGATAGATGTGCATGAGGGAAGTGAAGGGAGAAGAACGATCGGGTCAGTAGGAGGAGGAGGATCAGGATCAAGAGGGAACGAAGTGGTAGGGGCAGGGGCAGGAGGCCACACATGCAGCAGGAAGGAGGAGGGGCGCGGAGACGGGGAGGAAACCTTCCAGGTTGGCTCGTGAGCGTTGAGCATGGAGTTGACAGTTGGGAGGCTCCCGATGGGAAGCAGCCTGATTGCCCGCCTCCTTCAGCGCTCCCCTCCTCCTGACCTGCTCTCACCTGCTCCAGATCGCTGCGTCCTCCGTCCATCCAGCATAGGCGACCTGCGCACCATGTGATGACCCTGATGCTCGAGGAGGAAGGAGAGCACACAGGGGAGAGCTCAAGACCCTTGGCCTTCGCTGCCTCTACTATCTCCGCGCACTCCCCACCTACACCGTATTTTCAGTTCATGGCAGGCGCTTCCTACGAACCTTCAAGCATGTCGTCAACGAGGAAGATATCAGGGCTGCTGTGAAGCTTCCGCAGGCCTGCAGCACATTCAGTTTATAGGAATATCGTCCAATGGTAGGACAGCAACCAGGAAAGTCAGCATCGATCTCGATATGGTTGTCGAGCGACCGGACGGGGATGGAGAATGGAGCTAAGACAGCTCCTGTCCTGCCACGAGCAGCTGCAGGGGAACAGCCTGAGGAGGAGGAGGAGAAGGACGGGAGAGCTCTTGGAGTGGGAGCGACGAAGGACTGGGAGGAGGGGAGGAGGAGGAGGAGGAGGAGGAGAGGAGAGACGGAAAGGGGGGGAATGGGGGCGAGCTGCATTTCCGTCAGGTCCAATGGAGCTTCAAAGGGGTAGGTACTGACGAACGATTTTGAATGAAAATAGGGGGTGGGGTGGTGGGCGATATGGGGCCGGAGATGATGGGGAGATTGGGGATGGCTGGGATGGCTGGGATGGCTGGGATTGCGATCGCGATGATGGCATGGAGGAAGAGAAGGTAAGGAAGAGAAGGAGGAGAAGGAGGAGGAGGAGGTGGTGGTGGTGGTGGCGGCGGCGGCGGCGGCGGCGGCGGAGGAGGAGGAGGAGGAGGAGGAGGAGGAGGAGGAGAAAGTGGTAGTGGCAGCGAGAAATCAAGATAGCGAGGCAAGTAGAGATGAGGATGGAAGGGGTGCAGGAGGGGAAGTCTCCTGGAGAGGAACTTTGAAAGCCAATATCGGCATTGGCCTGATGATTGAAGTTCTTTCACTGACTCGCTGCTGTCATCCTTGACGTGCAGGTCGAACCCAGACGGAGAGCAGCAGCAGCAGCAGCAGCAGGGCTTGACTAGGATAGAAAGGTTGAAACTCCAGCTGGAGAAGTCCGGAGTCAAAAACTCTCGCTCGCACTGTTCGTCCATGAAGGTGAATCGTGTTTCCTTATCCCTTTCCTGTCATCCTCTGCTCTGCTCTGCTCTGCTCTGCTCTGCTCTGCTCTGCTCTGCTCTGCTCCCTCCTCCACACATCCCTGCTCTAACATATCTTTTCCAGGGTTGGGGATAGCCATCATGGCAGGGAGCTGGACTCTCTGCTACTTCTTCCGACCGAGCTCCCTCCTCCGCTCCGACGACGCCAGTCCCTTGGTGGAGAAGCTCAGTCTACGGTTTGAGGAGGCGCTGGTAGTTGCAGAGAGGAAGATCACCCGAATGTTCTCCTCCTCCCTCCTGGAAGGTCTTGACTCAAAGCAGCTCGTGCGATCACTCGCGGAGTCCATCGTCCTCCGAACCCTCCTCAAGCCCCTCCTCGTTCCTCTCAAGCTCTGGCTCACGCACTCCATTGTCAACTCCTGCTGATCCCTGCGAGGAGCAGCGGGCAAAGCGCGACCGCTGCAGCGACGGAGCTGCTAAGGGAAGGTGGATGGGGAAGCCGTTGTGGTCGTCGAAGGAACAACCTCGTACTCGTCATCATATACATGTACAAACTCTCCCTACTTCTCCCCGCCTCAGCATTTCCCTCTTGTACATTCCTTCCACCAACAACACTAGCACAGCTCGCAAGCTCCTCATGTCTACACTCCTCCTCTTGCCCACCTCCTGTCTAGCATGGTATCACGATCGTCACTCAACCTTTCTTGGACGCTTCCATGTTGTCTCCCCTGTCGCCCGGTTGAACCAGTAGGGCTTTCCTTGCGACCTGCTCTCCTCGTAAGTGAAGGATTCACCCGCAAAACTCCTCACCTCGACATCCGTTTCTTCCAGCCAGGAGGCAGCTCATCCTCCTCTGACTCGGGCTTCGCAACCTCAAGCGTCTGCATGGAGGACGCGGGCCGAGAGCTCGTCGTGCTGGAGGGCGAGGGAGATGGGGAGGACGGCGGTTTCCTCCCTGCCGACTTCATCAATTGCTCCAGCATCTTGTTTGCAGCTCGCTGCGCCTCCTGTTTGACCGACACCACCACGGGGCTTCGAGTCTCCTCCCCTTGCTCCTTCCTGGAGCTTGCAGCGGTCGGAGAAGTCAGAGCAGTCGCATCTCTCATCGGAGCCTCCACAGATTCTTCACGGCTCCTCCCCTCGCCTCCTCTCTCGCTTCCCTCTTGCCCTCCTCGATGCTGCTCCTTTTGCGCCGCACTCTCCTGAAGTTGACGGAGTACCTCACCGAAGGGGACGTGGCCCTCGGGAGGCTTCCATGATGTTGCCCTGGTAGCCTTCTGGAACCAGAACACCTTTCCTGTTGTCTTTGATTTGACTGGCTTCCAACCAGTAGGGCTGAACTGCATAAGAGACTCAAAGGGCACATCTTCCCACCTGTCCTTCCCCTCAGTTGCTCTCGTCCTCGGCCCCTCCTCCGACACTGAGCCGTCTGGCGTGGTCACTTGGTGCCGACCCCTGCCAGCAGGCTCCAAGTCGCTCGCGTCCTCTGCAACGCTCCTCCAGCTGCTATCCGACTGCACTGAGCTTGACCGCGAGAACGACCCCATGGAGCTCGGAGTTTTACTTCCTCCTCGCCACTTCCTCCTATACCCAGCCTTCTCCTTGGGCGCAAGACCCCATGATCGCATCAGGCTGGAGGCTTCCTCCAACGACGAGTAGTTGCACCTCTGCAAGGCCTTGAGCACCATATCCCGCTGAAACCCTTGCCGCCCTAGCTCCTCCTCCATGGACTGCTCTCTGGTCATGCTCTTGAGACCCTGAGCTCCCGTTTTGGCCGAGCTGGGCCGAGCGAGAGGAGGAGGAGCAAGAGGTGGCGGCGCAGGGGTGAGACGCGGCTTTCCGCTCCGAGGGCGAGAGGAGGAGGAGGAGGGTCGAGAAGGATTTCGATACCTCCCGGCCAACCTCTTGTAAGCTCTCTTGACCTGCACCCAGTCATGCTCTATTCGCGTGCTCCGATGGACCATACCTCCTCGGGGGAAGCGTTGGACGGGAGCCCGAGGAGGGCATAGACGTCGACCGTGCTCCTGTGAATGTCGACGATGTCGTCCGAGATCTTGACGTGCGGCTCATCCTGCATGACGCGCTGCAGCTGCTCGAACGAGGCCTTCTCAAGGATGGCAATCACCTCCTCCTTCTCTGCAAGCTCCACGGGCGTGTACCCCATTCCGTCCCTTTGCGAGAGATTCAAGCTCGTCATCTCCAGCAGCACGCTTAGCACGTCAGCATGCCCCCGGTAGGCCGCGAAGTGGACGGGGCTCCAACCCCCCTCCGAGACTGTCACAGGGTCCGCCCGCAGCTCCAGGAGCCTCCTTACGACCTTTTCCCTCCCCTTCCAGCAGGCCGCGTGCAGGGGAGTACTGCAGCTCGCGTCGATCGCGTCGATGTTGGCCTTCCTCTCGACGAGAAGCTCTACGACACCCATCCTGCCGTTCCTCGCTGCCTTGTGCAGGGCAGTCCATCCCCCCAGCTCCCGCTGCTCCAGTTGGGCTCTCCCATACTTGTCAAGGAGATGGCGAACTCTCTTCTCGTCCCCTCGTCCCGCCGCTCCCAGCAGGCTCTGCTTCCCCCCCATTCCCTTTCCCTCCCTCCCTCGCACAGTCACTCTTTGACAGACCTAGTCATCACTCTTTGACAGACCTAGTCATCCCGCCTTCCTCTCCGAGTAGGCTAGTCCGGTTTGCAGTGCCGGGATGATTTCCATTTTCACTGAGTCAATAAACTAAGGCTCTAGCTAGACGAGTAAATCAAGTTTCAGTTTAAAAAGCGGCCGCGTGGCGGCGGCGGCGGCCCGGCCCCCGGCGGCCGGGCGGCTGAGGCCCCGGCCCGGCCGTCGGCCCGGCTCAGGCTGAACCCGGCCCCTACTGCAGTGCCACGGTCCGTCCGATCGGACCGGGTTGCCATGATCACCGTGACTGCAACTAGAACTCCAAGAACCGGACCCACAGGAGCCTGTGGAGTAAACTCAGTCACCCGACGTGCCGACTGATTCACTTCGGAAAATGGGCTCAAAACGATGAGGCAATGTTTGGGCTAGGGCGATACTTGATAGAACCAGTGTCAGCAAATGCCTTAGGGATCCGAGTAACAGGAGTAAACTGTGACGTGCCGACTCATTCACTTCCATATGATCAGCACTCCATGAGCCGATACCGCGTCGATCCATCAGCCTGCATGGCCAACCACGTTACCCCCAACCCCGCCAAGATACGTTTGCCTAGAAATGACGTCCCTTCGGACTTCCTGGGACTGTTCTCCCCGCCAAGCGTTGCAAGTCACTGTCGTTCTGTCCGCCCCCTTCTCCCACGCGTCACGAGGGCAGACAGGTGCTAGCAGGCTACTTAACCCCCCTTCCAACCGCCCGCCCTCCACGCCCGCCAAGCCCTGAGCCATGTCTGCTTGCCCCTCCATCGACGATGCTGTAGCTGCCCTCTACCCCCTCGACATCCATCCCCCTTACCTCTCCTGCCCCTCCCCAGCCGAGCACCAGCCGGCTTCTCGGTCCTGCTCTCCCCTCCTGCCGTCGTACGCATCCCTCTGCGCATGCCCCCCGCCGTCGCAGCCTCCAGGCCAGGACGACACAAGTCTGCCCGACGAGTCTAGCAGCGACAGCGGAGACAGCGGGGACAGCGGGGACTCCTTCTCCAGCAAGCGCAAGATGTGGTCCCCCGACGAGCACGCCCGCTTCCTCGAGGCCCTTCGCAGGCATGTCGCCCTCAAGCACAGGTCCGGTCTGCCAGACGCGGCGACGGGCAAGCTGCGGGTCGGGCTGGGACGAGGAGCGGCGAGGAAGATCGCGCAGGCCGTGGGGACGAGGAGCGAGGCGCAGGTGCGATCGCACGCGCAGAAGGTGTTCCAGCAGGCCAGCAGGGCCGGCAGGTCTCCATGGGAGGTGTAGAGGAGGAGGCAGAGGGAGGTAGGACGGCAGGATATCATGTATAGATAAAGCGAGAAGCCCGAGCTGTTGTTCATGTCGCACCACACCCTTGAGGCCTTGAAATCAAGCTCCGTTTCCTCTGGTCTCCGTGGAGTCTTGGAAGGATCTGCTGCTGATCTTGCTCAGCCTGCATGTCAGGGCGTTCAGTATCAGAGCAGAGCTCTCTGGAGCCCAAGCAGAGCAGCTCGCTGCTCCCTGTCCTGCTGGATGCTGACGGCCTTTGAAGTGTCTTTGAGACTTTGCTGCCTTCTTCCTCACCTTCTGCCATTGCGGATGCTTGGACGTACAACGCAATCAGCTGTAACAGATCTCGCCCAGTCGCTGAGGCTCGGATGTGACACCTTGACGATTCATCTTGTTGCTGCTTGCGGCGGTCGTGGTGGAGCATGGCAAGGGCCGACACAGGAGCATTGGACGGGACGTGGGTAGACGACAGATACTGCAATCAGCTTGAGCGCTCAGGGCCTGCGGACATCCTTGCAAATGAGCTACAGCAGCCATGATCGGAGTACACTCGCTGTGTATCAGGGAGGCGGGCTTGCTTATTTATTCATAGCACACAGCTCTTGCCTCCTCCTCCTCCTCCTCCTCCTCTACACGCACTGTTACATGGACCTTGTCCTTGAACACCACTACCGAGCGCCCCTCTCCTCTATCTCTGCTTCCGCATGTAGCCGGTGGAGATGAGAGGGCTTGCCTGGTCTGCTGCTTTGCCGCTCGAAGCGTAGAGGATGAAGTTGCCCATGGCGTCGATCGACCGGCTCATCGTCCTGCTTGTCGCCTGGAGCGCATGGAAGTAGGAGCTGTGCTGCGCGGCGGCGCCAGCGGGGGAGATTGACGGGGATACAGGAGAGCTCTCGGGAAGGCAAGCGGGCGGGCGGATGGCAGGCATGGAGGAATCCAGGCAGGGCGAGGCATGCGGTGAGCTTGCTGCATGCTGACCGAGAGGGATGCATGTCATGACGGCTGAGGGAGAGCAAGCAAGCGGGGTAGGAGGAAGGTAGGGGACGAGGTAGGGGAGCAAGAAGATCCAAGGCTGGCAGGAAGAGGGAGCCTGGGGACGAGGGCGAGAGACTGAGGGAGGAAAAGGACCAAGCCTGGAAGCAGACGAAAATGGGCTCAGAACGCAATGTTTCGGTCAGGGTCACGGTACCTCTCGCAAGGAGTAAGCTGTGACGTGCCAACTTCACTGTCAGCACTCCATGAGCCGATACCGCGTCGATCCATCAGCCTGCATGGCCAACCACGTTACCCCCAACCCCGCCAAGATACGTTTGCCTAGAAATGACGTCCCTTCGGACTTCCTGGGACTGTTCTCCCCGCCAAGCGTTGCAAGTTTCGTCCGCCCCCTTCTCCCACGCGTCACGAGGGCAGACAGGTGCTAGCAGGCTACTTAACCCCCCTTCCAACCGCCCGCCCTCCACGCCCGCCAAGCCCTGAGCCATGTCTGCTTGCCCCTCCATCGACGATGCTGTAGCTGCCCTCTACCCCCTCGACATCCATCCCTCCTACCTCTCCTGCACCTCCCCAGCCGAGCACCAGCCGGCTTCTCGGTCCTGCTCTCCCCTCCTACCGTCGTACGCATCCCTCTGCGCATGCCCCCCGCCGTCGCAGCCTCCAGGCCAGGACGACACAAGTCTGCCCGACGAGTCTAGCAGCGACAGCGGAGACAGCGGGGACAGCGGGGACTCCTTCTCCAGCAAGCGCAAGATGTGGTCCCCCGACGAGCACGCCCGCTTCCTCGAGGCCCTTCGCAGGCATGTCGCCCTCAAGCACAGGTCCGGTCTGCCAGACGCGGCGACGGGCAAGCTGCGGGTCGGGCTGGGACGAGGAGCGGCGAGGAAGATCGCGCAGGCCGTGGGGACGAGGAGCGAGGCGCAGGTGCGATCGCACGCGCAGAAGGTGTTCCAGCAGGCCAGCAGGGCCGGCAGGTCTCCATGGGAGGTGTAGAGGAGGAGGCAGAGGGAGGTAGGACGGCAGGATATCATGTATAGATAAAGCGAGAAGCCCGAGCTGTTGTTCATGTCGCACCACACCCTTGAGGCCTTGAAATCAAGCTCCGTTTCCTCTGGTCTCCGTGGAGTCTTGGAAGGATCTGCTGCTGATCTTGCTCAGCCTGCATGTCAGGGCGTTCAGTATCAGAGCAGAGCTCTCTGGAGCCCAAGCAGAGCAGCTCGCTGCTCCCTGTCCTGCTGGATGCTGACGGCCTTTGAAGTGTCTTTGAGACTTTGCTGCCTTCTTCCTCACCTTCTGCCATTGCGGATGCTTGGACGTACAACGCAATCAGCTGTAACAGATCTCGCCCAGTCGCTGAGGCTCGGATGTGACACCTTGACGATTCATCTTGTTGCTGCTTGCGGCGGCCGTGGTGGAGCATGGCAAGGGCCGACACAGGGGCATCGGACGGGACGTGGGTAGACGACAGATACTGCAATCAGCTTGAGCGCTCAGGGCCTGCGGACATCCTTGCAAATGAGCTACAGCAGCCATGATCGGAGTACACTCGCTGTGTATCAGGGAGGCGGGCTTGCTTATTTATTCATAGCACACAGCTCTTGCCTCCTCCTCCTCCTCCTCCTCCTCTACACGCACTGTTACATGGACCTTGTCCTTGAACACCACTACCGAGCGCCCCTCTCCTCTATCTCTGCTTCCGCATGTAGCCGGTGGAGATGAGAGGGCTTGCCTGGTCTGCTGCTTTGCCGCTCGAAGCGTAGAGGATGAAGTTGCCCATGGCGTCGATCGACCGGCTCATCGTCCTGCTTGTCGCCTGGAGCGCATGGAAGTAGGAGCTGTGCTGCGCGGCGGCGCCAGCGGGGGAGATTGACGGGGATACAGGAGAGCTCTCGGGAAGGCAAGCGGGCGGGCGGATGGCAGGCATGGAGGAATCCAGGCAGGGCGAGGCATGCGGTGAGCTTGCTGCATGCTGACCGAGAGGGATGCATGTCATGACGGCTGAGAGAGAGCAAGCAAGCGGGGTAGGAGGAAGGTAGGGGACGAGGTAGGGGAGCAAGAAGATCCAAGGCTGGCAGGAAGAGGGAGCCTGGGGACGAGAGCGAGAGACTGAGGGAGGAAAAGGACCAAGCCTGGAAGCAGACGAAAATGGGCTCAGAACGCAATGTTTCGGTCAGGGTCACGGTACCTCTCGCAAGGAGTAAGCTGTGACGTGCCAACTTCACTGTCAGCACTCCATGAGCCGATACCGCGTCGATCCATCAGCCTGCATGGCCAACCACGTTACCCCCAACCCCGCCAAGATACGTTTGCCTAGAAATGACGTCCCTTCGGACTTCCTGGGACTGTTCTCCCCGCCAAGCGTTGCAAGTTTCGTCCGCCCCCTTCTCCCACGCGTCACGAGGGCAGACAGGTGCTAGCAGGCTACTTAACCCCCCCCTCCAACCGCCCGCCCTCCACGCCCGCCAAGCCCTGAGCCATGTCTGCTTGCCCCTCCATCGACGATGCTGTAGCTGCCCTCTACCCCCTCGACATCCATCCCTCCTACCTCTCCTGCACCTCCCCAGCCGAGCACCAGCCGGCTTCTCGGTCCTGCTCTCCCCTCCTACCGTCGTACGCATCCCTCTGCGCATGCCCCCCGCCGTCGCAGCCTCCAGGCCAGGACGACACAAGTCTGCCCGACGAGTCTAGCAGCGACAGCGGAGACAGCGGGGACAGCGGGGACTCCTTCTCCAGCAAGCGCAAGATGTGGTCCCCCGACGAGCACGCCCGCTTCCTCGAGGCCCTTCGCAGGCATGTCGCCCTCAAGCACAGGTCCGGTCTGCCAGACGCGGCGACGGGCAAGCTGCGGGTCGGGCTGGGACGAGGAGCGGCGAGGAAGATCGCGCAGGCCGTGGGGACGAGGAGCGAGGCGCAGGTGCGATCGCACGCGCAGAAGGTGTTCCAGCAGGCCAGCAGGGCCGGCAGGTCTCCATGGGAGGTGTAGAGGAGGAGGCAGAGGGAGGTAGGACGGCAGGATATCATGTATAGATAAAGCGAGAAGCCCGAGCTGTTGTTCATGTCGCACCACACCCTTGAGGCCTTGAAATCAAGCTCCGTTTCCTCTGGTCTCCGTGGAGTCTTGGAAGGATCTGCTGCTGATCTTGCTCAGCCTGCATGTCAGGGCGTGCAGTATCGGAGCAGAGCTCTCTGGAGCCCAAGCAGAGCAGCTCGCTGCTCCCTGTCCTGCTGGAAGCTGTCGCTGAAGCCTGCCATTGTCTCGTCATTCTCAATTTTTGCTTCCTTTCTCCCTACCTCCGGCCTTCAGGGCTGCCGCTGGTTCCCTCGGCTCCTTTCGCGCTATCTTTTCCGCAGGCGGGGCTTCCGCAGGCGCTTGCTGGGCCTGGACCCCCTGCTGCTGCAAGATCTGCTCTCAACCAGAATCGTCAACTCCCCCGCCCTCCGACATGCTCGCGAGCTCTGACCTTCTGCTGGAGCTTTTCCGCATGATGCCGCGCCTGTGACACGTGGTCAGTTGCCCAAAGTCTTGCTCTGATACGGAGCTCCGTACAGGAGGCGGCACAGCAGTCGGAGCTGCGGACTTGACGTGCTTGTCTGGCTGCAGAGGTATACGTCAGCGTCGGACTTTCAGCCCCAAGAGGCATCGAGGGGAAGGGAGAGAATGAGGAGAGAGGTTGGGCTAAGGACCTTATGGTTCGTTTTCTTCTCTGACACGAATAGAGGTTTTCCCGGTGCAATCTGTCGCCCTCTCATCAGTTCTGACCTCCTCCTGCCTGCGATATGGAGGAGGAGAATTGGGAAGTGGGGAAAAGAAGGGAGAAGTGGAGGATGAAGGAGGAAGAAGGAGAACGGGAAGGAGGAAGTGAGAGGTGGGGAGGGTAGGAGAGAGTGATACCTGCCAGTCAAGAGGAGCAACTCCGAAGCTCGACTCCAGCTTCTTCTTGATCCCCTAGAGAGGTAGCGGCTGAGCTGAGTCTTGTGCTGTCCGCAGTTCTGACCTGGTTCCTGACGATGGCGTCTCGATTGTTCTGAGAGTGCTCGGCTAGCTGAGCTTCCAGCTCATCGAGGTCGACCTTGTTGACCAGTCGATCGATAATGCTCTCGACCTGCTCCCGCCCGTCAGGCACAGGCTCGGAGGGCAAGGCCGGCCCACCTCCTCCAGGTAGGCGTTGTAGAGCTTCTTGGCCTCAGCCGGAGTCACGTCGGAGGAGCGGAAGTCTTCTTCCTGCCTGTTGTAGACGCTGCATAGGATGGTGATCGGAGGGAGGAAGAGCTCAGTCAAGACCTCAAGACTTTGTGCCGGATCTTGATCTCTCTGCGGACAAAGGGATCCTGCCATAGCAAGTCATTCATCCCTGCTTCTCTCCATCGCTCTCGTTGCTGCCTCTCCATGTGTTGGCACGAGCTCCTCCTTTCTGCTCGCTGAGTCAGCGGGAGCAGCGGGAGAGTCTAGAGGAGACCTGAAGGAGAATGGCGAAC